TATTTGGCAGGAAGTGGATTTTGGGCTCACTATTTGGCAGGAAGTGGATCTTTGGGCTCACTATTTGGCAGGAAGTGGACTCTGGGCTCACTATTTGGCAGGAAGTGGGTTTTTGGGTCACTATTTGGCAGGAAGTGGATTTTGGGCTCACTATTTGGCAGGAAGTGGGTTTTCGGGGTCACTATTTGGCAGGAAGTGGATTTTGGGGTCCAGGGGTGGATTTTGGGGTGTCAGTGGCTCACTATTTGGCAGGAAGTGGATTTTGGGGTCACTATTTGGCAGGAAGTGGATTTTGGGGTCACTATTTGGCAGGAAGTGGATTTTGGGGTCCAGGGGTGGATTTTGGGTTGTCAGTGGCTCACTATTTGGCAGGAAGTGGATTTTGGGGTCACTATTTGGCAGGAAGTGGATTTTTTTGGCTCACTATTTGGCAGGAAGTGGGTTTTTGGGTAACTATTTGGCAGGAAGTGGCCTCTGGGCTCACTATTTGGCAGGAAGTGGGTTTTTGGGTCACTATTTGGCAGGAAGTGGATTTGGGGCTCACTATTTGGCAGGAAGTGGATTTTGGGCTCACTATTTGGCAGGAAGTGGACTCTGGGCTCACTATTTGGCAGGAAGTGGGTTTTTGGATCACTATTTGGCAGGAAGTGGGTTTTTGGCTCACTATTTGGCAGGAAGTGGCTTTTTGGGTCACTATTTGGCAGGAAGTGGATTTTGGGTCACTATTTGGCAGGAAGTGGATTTGGGGTCACTATTTGGCAGGAAGTGGATTTTGGGCTCATTTTTTGGCAGGAAGTGGGTTTTTGGCTCACTATTTGGCAGGAAGTGGATTTGGGGCTCACTATTTGGCAGGAAGTGGATTTGGGGCTCACTATTTGGCAGGAAGTGGACTCTGGGCTCACTATTTGGCAGGAAGTGCATTTTGGGGTTCAGGGGTGGATTTTGGGGTCACTATCTGGCTCACTATTTGGCAGGGGTGGATTTTGGGGTCACTATTTTACAGGAAGTGGATTTTGGGCTCACTATTTGGCAGGAAGTGGGTTTTTGGCTCACTATGTGGCAGGAAGTGGGTTTTTGGGCTCACTATTTGGCAGGAAGTGGATTTTGGGCTCACTATTTGGCAGGAAGTGGGCTTTTGGGCTCACTATTTGGCAGGAAGTGGATTTTGGGGTCACTATTTGACAGGAAGTGGATTTCGGGGTCACTATTTGGCAGGAAGTGGGTTTTTGGCTCACTATGTGGCAGGAAGTGGACTCTGGGGTCACTATTTGGCAGGGGGGGTGTCAGTGGCTCACTATTTGGCAGGGGTGGATTCTGGAGTCACTATTTGGCAGGAAGTGGATTTTGGACTCACTATTTGGCAGGAAGTGGATTTTGAGATCACTATTTGGCAGGAAGTGGATTAAGAGTCACTATTTGGCAGGAAGTGGATTTTGGGGTCCAGGGGTGGATTTTGGGGTGTCAGTGGCTCACTATTTGGCAGGGGTGGATTTTGGGGTCACTATTTGGCAGGAAGTTGATTTTTGGGGTCACGATTTAGCAGGAAGTAGATTTTGGGGTGTCCCTGGCTCATTATTTGGCAGGGGTGGATTTTGGGGA